TTTTTACTTAATTCATCATATAAGAGAAATCAATAAAGAAATGTTATTCAAACTCTTACTAAAGTAAATCATATTAATCATATTTTAGGAAGGATTTCATGAAGTCACTTAGAATCTATTGAATACTATGATTGATAGTCAAAGAATTTCATATTTAACTAAGACAGCTGAAAAATATATTGAATATTATAGAATCTTTAATAAAGAAGAAAACATCACTATTATTTCTGCTGAAAACTTATCTGAAGAATAAAAGTAAATATAATTAAATTATAAATAGAACATAAGTTATATCAGCCTTAAAAGAATCAAGTCCAAACATGCAATTTTCAGTTTAATACAAAGTTGATCCATCTATTTTAGGAGGATTATAAATGTATTCAGGAAATAAATTTTTGGATTGCTCATTATTATCAAGAGTCAATAAATTGAGATCAGAATTGTAGAAGTTGAGCATCTGATCTATGATAAGTATTAATAATAATAAATATTATATATATATTAATCAAATTTCTTAATAACTGCCTTAAAAATCTCTTAACTAAATAAATAGAACTGTTTTCACTATAAATTGAGAAGAACAATAATTTAATAATTACGATGAAATAAAAATTTAAAATAAATTTTATTGAAATTTCTTGAGCAAAATTTTTTTTGATGAATTTTTCAATAAGAAAGAAATGTTTGTAAAAATATCAATATTATAAAATAAGTTTCTATCATTTTTTAAACCAATGATGCAATCCAGCCTTAAATTCATTTTTAACCTTACCTTTAAAATCTACCCACTATTTTCTTCTTTCTTCCATCTCATTTAATCTACCTTATAATTCTTACAATTGTTTTTTGAGATCTTATTCTACTTGGAATTTTTCATTTTTTTCATTTTAAATTAATTTTTCCAAATTAGATTAAATTTCTAAAGATTTTTCACAATATTCTTGATATTATTTTTCCATGCCTTTTTTATCCTATTCTAAAATAGTTCTTAATTCTTATTCCATTTTTAATTATGATTCATACTTAATTCGATTTTCATATTCCTAATTATACAATTATTCTTTTTGAATTCTAATTTATGATTCATTTGTAAATTAAAGTTCTGCTTTAATTCTATTTTATTATTCTCTGTTTCTTTCTTCATATGCCCTTTGTAATTCTATTTTTTTTTATAAATTTTCTAAGAAATAAGAACATTTCTATTACACTTAATCACAATGTTTTTCAAAGGCAGAATACCCATAAATAAATTCAGAGAAAAAAGAGAAAAAGTTAAAAATTTTAAGGAAATTTTAACTATTTTCATTAATATCATTTTCAAAATGAAATGTTTTTGATAATTCTAATGAAACATTAATGAATTTATTGAACCAATCTTCAACATGTTCTGGTATTGATGATAAAATGTGTTAAATTGAATTAATAAGACTTTGTAATAAAATGAATTATTCGTCATTTAAATCCTTCTATTTTAATGTTAAATTAAAATCCATTTATTAACATATTTATTTTAATATTAAATTACTTTTCTCTGTAATATAGGTACTAATTTTATCACTAAAAGGTAGAATTTAAGGTTAAAATTTAATTTCATTAACAGTAATTAATTCTAACCAAAGCTTTTCTCTATTCTTTTCCGAAAAGATTTAATCTAATGATTCTTAACTTTAAACTCTTCTTATAATAGAAATCCATTCATGTTTTCCTTCTTGTAATTCTTTTAATTATTTTTAAACACTGTAAATTAATTTTTCATCTTTATAATTCTAAGAATAACTATTCAAAATAAGAGCAAGTTTAGAGATTTCTAAATTCTTTTCTTTGAAAACTGTATTAATAAATGATTATAATGCTTGTCCTCTCTCTAGAAAATCATTTTATGGATGAGTAATTACATATGCAATTTTTACATTAGATTTTGTAATAAATTTATAGAAAATCATCTAAATAATGAGTTGATCTATTTCACCATTTGTATCATGAAATCCTGGAAAATCAATAAGTAAATGATTATAATCTTCATGATAATAATATTTAGGCTCTTTAGTAACTGATTTCATTCCAGAATTCATTTCTGAAAACATTTATGACTCTTCAGCTAAATCTAAATATTCTTCTTCTTCAGTAACAACATATTTGAATTTAGCCCCTTATAGAAAATTAAAAATTGTGCTCTTTCCTGATCCTGTATTACCAACAAGAATTAAGACATTCATATTTTATTTCATTTTAGACTCAAAGAAATCTAATTATGCAGAGATTCTATCAATAGTCTCTAGCAATGTTTTCTCATCAATATTTATTTTATCTTATTACATCATTAATAATTATAATACTGTTGAAACATTATAAATAATATTTAATTGAACTCTGAATTCTATCATTTAAGAAAAAATTACACAAAAATAAATGAAAATTTAATTGTAAGAATTAAGAAGTGTTAAATATTTTTTTGAAATCAAAAATTAAAACTTTCATCAATTTTCATGCATGTTGATTCTAATAATCTTAGAATGCTTTCTTATGATTTTTCTTTAAAAATTCTTTCATCAATGATTTCACTTTAAATTTTTTAATGTACTTCTTCAATCATAGAAAATATTTTATTTTCTGTTTCTTCTCTAACTGTTTTTTCTACCTTCAGCATTTCTTAAAATTTATTGAGTTCTAAGTCCATTTGTTCAATTAAATGAGTTTAAGATTCAGATCTTTAATAAATTCTATATCAAACCTATTTTATTATTCATTTTCTATGGTGAATCTTAAATCTCTTAATTAATTACCAATATCTCCAATTTATCTATTTAATTTATCCTAATAAACAGAATTATTCTTTTCAAGCATCCCTTAAACTGTTTCAAATCTATCTTCTATTTATTTCAATAATTAGATCTCGACCCTTCGTTTACTCTAAAATTAGCCGAAAGTATATACATTTTTTTCTTCGTCCATTTATTTATTTATTTATTCTTCGAAAAGCAGCAACTGTTCTTAATATCTAACATAATATTCTTTTCCAAATTTCTCATCATTAATCTATTCAGTCAATTTATATAATTATTCTTTAATTGTCTAAAATAAAGAATGGAACTTACTTTGAATTTTTCATCATCGTTTATCTTATCATAATTTAATAAATTGTCTATTTTTAAAATTGAAGTATCAATAATTTCTTTTTTTTCAAATCTACCCTTATCAATTCCTGTTCTAATTAACTTCCATCTATCTGCAAGATCTTAAATTTTTTAGAATGAAGGAGATTCTGATCTTATTAATGAATTATTCATATGTTATGAGGATGAATATCTCATATTAATTTGAAATTAAAAAGATGAATGTTTGTTAAAAATAATTATAAATTTATTTTAATGATTATTTTCAATTTGTTCTTTTATCTTCATCATCTGAGTATAATCTAGAAATATTGATATAAATACCTTGGATCATTATAATAGACATTTTTCTTAATTAGATTATCTAATTATTCTTGAGTCAATTAGCTGATTTCTGATTATGAAGTTGAATTATTATTATTATTGTCATTTGATTTTGGAGGGACTTCAATAATTCTTTGAAGTGGAGAGTTTTAATTATTAAACATCATCATAGCAGCTAGACTCATGTAATCATTTCCTTATCCATTTTGAGATTTAGGAACAACAACAACTTTAGATGATTTTAATATTGAAGAGTATCCTTTTAAGTAATGTTATAATAGTATATAATCTAAGACTCTTTTTTTTGATTATTCTTATAGAGCTTCACTAATTTAATTTAAAGCTTTAGCTTCATTTTAAGAAACAAGTCTAACAGCTTCAGCATCTCCTTCTGCAATTTTAATAGCAGCAGTTTTTGCACCTGTTGCAATATTAATTTCACTAATTTATTTACCTTCACTTTCTAATATTTCTCTTCTTTTATTTCTTTCAGCAACAACTTATGCTTACATAGAAACTCTAATTTCTTCAGGTATATCAATTTATAATATTTCTACTCCTAAACTTGTATAACCCCATTCTGCTGCTGCTTTACTTAAACCATTTTATAATGCACGATTTAATGCAGCACGTTCTTATAAAAGTTGATCTAATTTTAATTTACCAATTTCAGATCTCAATATAGTTTGACATAACAATTTAATAGCATTTTATGGTTCACTTACCTATTTAAATAAGTAAATTATATACTTAATAAGATGCTTTAAAGGGATCAATAATACGAATAAATGCTATTCCATCTAAATGTATAGCAACATTATCTTTTGTAATGACTTATTGTTTTTCAATAGGTAAGATTTCCTCTTTTAATGATTAACTGTATGCTACTCTATCAATTAATGGAATAAGGAAATTCAAACCAGGTTATAAAGTTCTATTATATTTTCCTAATTGTTCCACTATCACAACACTCTTTTCTCTTACTATTGTCCAAAGTTTATATCCAAACATAATTTTAATCTCAAATAATTAGAATCGATTAATATTTATTTTGAATTTGAATGAATAAGATTAAAAATAACCATAGAAGAGCTTTATCTAATAACGATTTTTAATTAATCTTATCTTCTTAAATTTCAGAATTACTTGAAGATAATTCACATAAATACTTAATTAAGAATTAAAGCTTTGGTAATATGCTCTTTTAAATCCCTGAATAAACTGATGTAGTATCATCAACTGAATAATCATTACAATCTGCCAAAAAGACTCTCATTATGGAATAAAATACCAAATAAAATTACTCTCAAGAATAAAAGGAAAATCTTAAAAATTAACCTTCTGGTTCAAATCTTATTTCATAAATATAATATATGATTAAAGGCAATCATCCAATTAAAGAAATTACCCAAAAAACATTAAATAGTGAAAGATAAGATTAAAATAAACATCTTAGTTTTACTAATGAATTACTAAAAAAACATAACTAATTAATTTCATCGTCAAATAATAAAAATAATTGTTCTAGTCTAACACCAGAAAGAAAAAGACCTGAATTAAATACTAGTAAATTAAATAGTCATAAATAAAAATCTAATCAAATTGAAAAATCTAAAATTGATTTATCAAATTCTTTATTCAATACTCTACTTAAGGCTGATAGTAAAAAGAAACTTAATATTGAATAATAAGAATCATATAGAAGAATCGAACTCTAAATGAATAAAATATAAAAAGATATTAATACTATTAAAAATAGATAAGATTAATTAGATCTATTTAACAGAAATTTATAAAACCAATTATGTGATTTCATGACTCAAAATTAAAAACAACAAGATGTAATTTATAAATCCAAGATTTTAGTATGGTTATCAATCACTCCAAAAACTTGAGTAATTAGAATAAATTACAAGAAGAAATGAAGAATCCATCTAACTTATTAAATAATAATTAATCATTGAATAGCCTAACAATTTTCTTAAAGGAAATGAAAATATTATCAATTTTGGGTATCATTCTTATTTTTCTATATTTAGAAATCTCACCTCTTATAAACAAGAAAGTGATTCATATAAAAAGCATACTTATTTAAAAAGTAATAATAAACTATGATTTAAGGCATTTTTGTATTTAATCATTATTATTTAATTATTTATAAAATTTTCTAAATATTAATATTAATTATAATAATTTATGTAAATTTACAGAAATCAATCCTTTAGATAATTATATAATCTAATGAAAAACATAAAATATTTTTATAAATAAACTATTTATTTTTGATTAAAATGTGTTGATATCTTTTACAGACAGGTGTTTGGGGGTCATTCTGATTATTTATAAGGAAATCAATTCACTTAATATTAGTCTAATTTGAGTTGTTCTAATTTTATTGTATAATTGCTAATCTTTATAATTTGATGATATAGTTCTGACTTTTGTAAATGGTAAAATAACTTAAAATAAGTAAAGTTAAATCAATTATGAATTGAATAAGATTTGATAGTTATAAAAAAGTTTTCAAATCTAGAACTATTCTATTGCATAAGATATATGTTTGTATAATTTCATGAAGATTTAAGGATTCTACATATAGACTTATTATTGGAATATTGTCTATAAATTGAATGGCAATTGATAGACAATATTCCAACAATAAGGATAGACATAAAAAATTATATTTGGAGAATATTTGTAAGTTAAGGAGGATAAAAATATGAAAACCATAGAAAAAAAAGTACGATCTTAATTAAAAACAAATAGTAGTAGTGGTAGCCATATAAGATGAATTTGAATAAGTTTTATGACTTGCCATACCATAAAGATGTCTAATTTATTCATTAATTGTTATTTAAAAATATTGAAATGTTTAAATAACAGCTTTTTTATTACTGTTATAATATATTTATGATATTGAATATTTGATTTTAAAAGAATTATGATTGTAAAACATCAATATCAAACAATTATTAAGAATAATCATTTTCCAAATCTGTATGGGATTTATGAAAGCGATTATCCTGAAACCATTTCAGCTTTTTTGTTTTGGAGACTTTATAAAACAATTTTAGAAAAATCAATATGAGTAGTTCCTTAATATATGTTGATATCGTACTTGGTGAACAACTCAAAATTCTTGCTTGATCCTCTTCTCGTTAAATTTGAGATACCTAATGGTTAGATGTTTCAATAGAATTTCTTTGATTAAACTTTTTGAGATTGTTTTCCAATTCAATTTTTTAGATCTATAGTATCTAAATTATTTTGGTTTATTATAGATCTTTATCCATCATTTATTTAATTTATTTTTATGATTGTTCCATATATTAGATTTTATCTTCTTTAGACTAAATCAATGTTAAAGATAAATTATTAATTTTAGATGTTAGTAGATTGATTTCATCTTAAAGTTTTTTATTTATTTATGTTTGTTCTAAGATGGAACGATCTTTTTGTTCAATTAATTATTTTAATGAAATTACTAGTTCACTTAATTCTCTATATTATTTTTAAGCTTCTTTTAATTCATCATTTTAAGAGTTTGTATTAATTTATAATTTAATAGCTTTGATTTCATTTTCGAGTAGTTAAATCTATAATCTATCGCTCTAAATAATATAAAATAAATTTATACTTTAATTTGTTCTAATCGTGCCTCTTCGATAATAAGTATAGCATTCATAATATCTTAAATATCTGAATTGATGCCAAGTTATAAGATTTCTTCAAAGTCTTCATTAAAAGATTTCGAGATTTAGATCCATAATTTAAGTAAAATTGATTTGAATTCTTCTTATTCTGATATGATTGAATGAGTGCCATTTTTTAACTCATAAAATTTAGAGTCAATGAGATTAGGTGTAGTTATCATTATTAACAAATATTAATATATATTTAATATAATTTGTTCATAACTGCTAGAAACGAGACTCTTAAGGGAATTATCGATGTATAATCTTCCTTAATCTTTTCTTGGAATCAGAGTTCACACATAACATAGAATAATAGGCATTTTGTAAATATGATCGACTTCTGTATTCCTTCAACTTTTGTTTACTCTAATTATCGATCCCTTAAATAAGGGCCAATATTACGAACTTTTTTGATTTAGTTATCAATCATTTAAATCTACTATTAGGTTTACTCATGTGCATGGGGATTGGCATGATTCATTAAATTTGTAATGGCCATTTAGCGATTCTTGTTGATA